CCCTCTAGGACCACAATGCACCTTTTCCAGAGTATCCGTGAGGTACTTCAGCTTTTGTGGTCACGTCTTTTTTTTTTTATTTTGGTCTTTTTGAGACAGGGTCTCCCTGTAGCCCCAGCAGACCTGGAACTCACTATGTAGACCAGGCTGGCCTCGAACTCACAGAGATCTACCTGCCTCTGCTCCCGAGTGCTGGAATTAAAGGCATGTGCCACCACGCCCGGCTTAAATATACTTTTTAAAGAATAAGAATCTTAATTTCTTAAATTTATGACTTGCTTTTATTGTGTTTAATTTTCCCCATTTCATTGCTTTCTTTTCATCTTTTGTTTCTTTCATGACAATCAAGAAGAATGTCATTTGGGGTGGGGACTGTGTACCCTAGTGGTGTAGCCCTTGCCTGGCATACATGAGGCCCTGAGTTCGTCCTTTGAGGGCGTCTCCTCCCCAGAAACAAACACAGAGATGTGACAGTAGGAACGAGCTCCACACCACAAGCAGGCCTGTTGGGGTCCCTGTTTCTCTCAGGTTACTTATGCTTCACCCCTCCTGATTGGCTCCCTCATCCTTTCTAAAAGATGAATCTGGGAAAACAAAAACAAAAAAATGCCCTGAACAGCTTGAGAGCTCTGTTCCTTATGTGCAGATGGTACCCACAGAGTTACTTAAAGATACTGTTCACTGGCTCCTTATCATTCTGTACTCATATGAAATGAAATTCTGTTAAAAATTCATGGTCATTAGGGTGTGGGATGAATGGATTCAGAGCAAACTCTGCATCAAACATGCTTACCTGTAGGTGGGAAAAGTGTGCAGGAGCCCAAAGCACAGGTGCCATGCCTCTGTCCTGTAACTTACCAGAGCAGGTGCAGCAGGAGGGAACTGTTGGGGGGGAAGGAACAGAGGGCTGTAGAGATTCAGTGGTTTTGCAGAAGACTCAAGTTTGGTTCCCAGCACCCACAGTGGGTGGCTCACACAGGGGCAGCTGGTTACTTCCCTGTCATCAGCCTTCTCAAGAAAGAAGAACTCCCAAAGCCATGATGTCACCTTTCCTGTTCTTGGATTCATTCAGTTCTTATTTTAGTCAAATTACCTATAGAAGCTCCTCACAGAACAGTTCTTCTGTGGGAGCTCCTGCTTCACGTTTGGACTTCCTTTATTTCTCCGGGGCTTGACTTCTCAGCTCCTCCTGCCCCACAGTGTTGCTTCTCTTCTTAGCAACAACTTCCTGTTTCCTCCAGACCACTCCCTCACCAGATCCTATAGAGCAGACCAGCAAGCCAGCTGGCCTCCATCCCCTCTGACTTCATCCCTCACCCCCTAGCGTGGCCTACTTGTTTCATTATGCCCTCCACTTCCCTTCCACCAGAGTATTTGAGCTACAGCCTAGAATCCAAGCATTCTAGCCAAGCCCCATGTGTCAGTTTATAGCGTCCTCACTAATATTCAGGTGGACCTCAGACTTTTCTCCCAAAACAGTAACAGAAGGAGAGTTAAAGTTCCAGATGTCTGTAGAACAGAGTCAGAATGATGTTAGCATGGAAAATATCTGTGGATCAATAGCTTAAGTTGGCATAGAAATATCTTATAGGGCATTCTTTTTCTCTTTTCTCTTTGGGACTAGTAATTTAATTTGCAAGTTCTGAATTACGTAACAGTCCCCTGCCCCTCCCACACATGCACATCAATTTGCCTCCCTTAATGTTTTTATAAAAATGGAGATTGCTTGCAATGTTCCTGTGGTGTAGAAAACACCAATAGGTTATTGTTTCTAAGATTTTTTTTTCCAGAACTTTCTAACAATTATAACTATGGTTCTTTGTAGCAAACTTTAACCTTTTCTTTAACTCAGTCAAGGTTTTGCTAGCCATTTGACACTTCCCATTGGCCCCCAGGTCTTTCCTATAGAAAGGCTGGTTATAAAGATCAGAGCAGTAGCTGCAGAAAGGGTAGAAGGCCTGGAGAAGAGACAGGTCTTGCGCCTTTAGTGCCGATAATTCAATATTTGTATTT